CTCGAATAGGCCTTGAAGAGATAATAAGAGTGCCCCTAGATAGCCCTTGAAGAAATATCAACACTACCCCTGGCCAAGCCCTGAAGAGATATCAATGGTGCCCCTACATTGTCCTTGAAGAGTTATGAAGACTACTTGCGGATGGCCCTTGAAGAGTTACAAAGACTATCCTCAGATAGGCCTGAAAGAGTTATGAAGATTACCTCGAGATAGGCCTTGAAAAGATATTAAGAATACTCCGAGATAGCCCTTGAAGAAATATGAACACTACCCTTGGATAGGTCTTGAAGAGTCATAGAGACTGTCCCTAGATAGCGCTTGAGAAAATGTGGAGAGTACCCTAGACAACCCTTAAAGAGTTATAGAGAGTACCGCTAAATATGCCTTGAACTATATAAGTACATTAAAGTAGTTTAAAGTACATTAAAGTACATTAAAGTACATTAAAGTACTTTAAAGTACCTCAAAGTACTTTAAAGTACCTCAAAGTACTTTAAAGTACTTTAAAGTACAAAGTACGGTGTTCCCCCTTGCCCCACATCCACACCCACACCCACACCCACCCACACCCACCCACACCCTTATAGGCTATTTTTTCTTCTTTTTCCCAAAAAGGTGTGATAGCGGCAAAAGTCTGTATTGGCTGACTTTTCACAGGTAGGGTATTGGAACTTAAAATTTTGGAGCTGATGGTTTCAGACATGGATGCGTTGAATGAGAAAAAAAAATTGAAAAGAAAATTTTTATCGAGTGCCTGGTATACTCGATCGCTTCATGGACGCTTTCTTAATGGATACACTAAACATAATGCTAATCTATTATTGTAATGATCTATTTCGTTCTTATGGGTCGTAGAAAAGAGATGGTCATATCCATTTTTTGACATAATTGCAACGTATATACTCGCAAAGCCAGAATTATGAGCTCAAGCCTGATAGTCGTATTCGTTCTTTTTCGTTTTGATGCTTCGGAACTTCAGTAATTTTTTTTCTGACTTTGCAATTATATCTGCTCGAATAATATATTTGTAGATAACTATCACTTTATAACATTCTTTCAAATGCCAACTACCGGGGTTACACCTCAAAGCTTCAATGGAGGCCCACCTTCATCCGACACAATCGCTCGGATAGTAAGCATTTTCCATGAAGACACTACTGGACAAGAATTTTTCAATTCAGTTCTTGATCTATTCGCAAGTTTCGACAGAACAAGTCGTCCTCAGAATAACACGTTTGCACACGATATCAGTCACATGTTTGACTCTATAATATTGAGCTTTACAACGCCAGAAACTTCATCAAAAGTCCAAGATCGTATTGGTTCCTACTTCTATATTTTTCGTCGACTAGAGGAGTATGAAACCAGAGCTCGACCATACTTTCAGTTGTGGCCAGCCACTGACAAAAGTAAAGAACTTAGACGAGCATTACATGATCAGCTAGTCCAAATATTTGTATCAACAAAGGGTGCAAAACCAAATCTCGATATCAATGACAAGAACCAATTGAAAAAAATGGAAATTCGTGAACATCTGGGGTATATAGCGACGATCGATAATATAAACTCTTTGCATACATTCCTCGTGTTATGTAAATTATCGTTTCAGTCATCCATGATCGTTGACGATAATCAGCATCGTCTTCGATGGATAGATGTAGTATCAAAATTGAAATCTTTACAACCGGCTCTCCAACAAATCATAGCAACATATATTGAATATAAAGAGGCATTCGACGTGTTTCCGCTCGACATACCAGCATTTATTCATTTGGTCATAATAAAACATCCATTGGCCAATATTAATAATTACTCGCCGTTCAGTGTTTTATTCAAGCTTCTACAAAATTTATATCTATCAAACGAAATGTTCTATGAACAGTATTTCGACATATTTGTTTTCCATGTTCGGCGCAAAAGTTATTGTTTTCATCACATCGGTGACCTATTCCGGATATTGAGGCAAAAGGACGCCTTATTCGGCAAATATTTTAACGTTTACTCTAATTGGGAAAATGAGAACGAACTATGGAAGATGTTTCTGTATTTATTTGATAACACTGACCTTACTGAAATGGTTCAGAGCCATCTAATATCAAACTTGACCAAACGTTTTCCGACACCGAATATCAACAAATTTTATCAAGACATTGTATCTGCCAAAACAAATTTAACAAATATCACAGATAAGAATCGCAAAAGTTACGTAAAAATATTAGAAGCGATAATATCTGCCTTTATTATTAAACAATCATACAAACCAGGCTATTATTATTCATTGACAGAACAGACATTAAAACAATTTTTTCAATTAGCTCTCAGTCTATCATCGGCACCCGATCTTCAACAACCTCCTTATTCACTCATTATGGAACGATTGGTGTTTAAAACTGGGGCTCAAATATATAAAAAAACCGAAAGACTTAATCTTCTTTTTGAAAAATTGAAAGATTTTGATCAAAATCTTCCAAAGACGTTGGATCCTGCTCTAATAATTCGAGATGAATGGTTAATTGACTATACTTTAACTTTTCCTACAGAGTGGTCAGAACAATTCATTCCTAGTGTTTACCAAAACCTATGCAATTCTCATCAAAATAACCGTTTTATCAACTATGTGTGGTCAAGAATAACACATTTGACCCTTTTGAAATTGGCTTCAGATAACACGAATCATATACTTGTGAGCATTGACAAATGGCTGAACAATGTACAGCACAATGCCAACAATATTTTGACAAGTATCTTTGTTATCAATGTATTCCATACACTCATTGCGAAATATAAGAAAAATGTATTGTTGCTTCCAAATATCGAAAATATTTTCAATTGCATTCTCTATATCCGCCAAGAGAATTTGTTTCCGGCCGATATAAAAGAAATGGACGAAGTCATCGAACATGGAAAACAATCTATCGAAGACATTTTCTTACTAAAAGGTAATTTCAGTCAGCATAAGTTGTTTCTAAAATCTCATGTGTTCAATGGAGTTCAAGACAATAAAAAGCATATGCCACAATCTGCAATGAAGATAGCTCAGCTGTCAGAAGTATTTTTATGGTTAAAAACAAAATACTGAATCGAATCTTATCGACTAGAAAAATCTTGCCACTTCTGTTTTCAACTTGAGAACTCCTAAAGATTATTTCTATTGTGTTTTTTACGAAAAATGGCATTTATGCAAAGCGACTAACTTTACGAGCAACAATTTCTATTGGAACAATTGAGCATATTTTTAATTTTTCTCAAAAGAATTACGCCTTATGCAGCAATATGTCTTGATTTTAGCCGAGAAAAAACGAAATCATGCGTTTCGGTACTTCGATACTGAAAAAACTTCGCGAAAAAACCTGTTCATTTTCGAACACGTTCTATATTTGAAACAATAGATGTAAGACGATTCGTTTCGAAAAATGATTCAAAATTCGAACATCCCTCGTCGGCAGGATGTGAGTGTGAATAGAGAAAAATCCGACATCCACACTCAGACCCCGCACCCGATGGACGCTCCACAATCGATAAGAGTGCTAGACATGTTAAGAGTGTCTTTGTTCTCAGCCTTCATTGATACTTTTTTAACGATTTTGAACTCCTTTTCAGATGTACTGATTGTAAAGATGTCTTTGCAGCATGTACTAAGAAATAAATATAGTGCTGCTTGAAAGAATAAATTATCTTTGTTCAGAACAGAGACATACTTGAACTTTTCTAATGGTTTTCATAGCTGAAAACTGCTCTTTTTCATTGCAGGTTCATGTGCAAATTATCGTGCTCTATTGGGTCCCTCGATTATTCGGTATTTTCTCCGTTTTACAGACTTGACCAAGATATCGACATGGTCACATCATCAACAATACAAATTTCCGACGGTAATACTAAATATCGAAACGATTGTGGGCATAGAAAAGCCAAAAGATATTGACATGTCAGAAATCAATTCAAAATATCAATTATTTGATCGTTTCATTCAACAAGTTAACAAGTGGCTGACGTGGTTTTATAGATTTTTACATATTTTCCATTATATTGTTGAGTGGCTCAAAACTTACAACGTCGTCGCAGCTGCAGATATATTTAATGGCATCAATACTATTAGAGATAATGACTCCATAACATGCATTGAGGTAAAAGAAGTTATAGAAAATACATTGCGATTCCTCAAACCATTCGGTAATCATCTTCGTCGACTCTGCTATCTATTCAATTGTTCGACTCCGTTTCGAATTATCGTTCAAGGTGGAACTGATAATCAGAAAGATTCATCTATGTACATTCGAGAAATGAAGCGTGCTCAATCCAAGAACACATTCACTGTCAACAGTCAATTCTCACTTGAAAAAATATTTCCAATAAGCGATCGTCAAAATATTCAATGGTTTCTTGCCAGTGAAAAGCATTCGTGTACTGTTCAGATCAAGTATCGTGAACATGATGCATCAGCGCCAGAAGAATTAATATTTTCCAAGGAGAATGCTTCAAGTCACAAACATGTTCTACATGGTGAATTCGAAACGCAGCGTGGTGGTAGATTTATAATCACCATTGACAATCAGAATACATCAAATCCGCGTACTATATGGTTTCAAATCAAATCAAATAGTTTAGCGATATGCCATCTATTCCAAGGTATCTTCAATATCTTCTATCAACGATACTTTTCACATTTAACACAGCCAATTCGAGATACTCAATTGAATCAAATACTTGATCAAGTATTCCAGTTCATTGACAATCTCTTGAATGGCACGATAAAACTTCGCGAAATGACCGATCTCAAAAGTGTTTTTTATAACAAGAACATTGATGTTCGAGAAGAAGTCGAAAGGCTTTTCACAAATCGTTCCACAACCAAAGAAAAATCAAGAGCAAGCAGAGTAATAGTGATCGATGCTCCCGATGAAAACGACATTGAACAAGTATGTAAATGGCTGAAAATCTACCAATATTACTGCCATATCAATATCATTGTTGATTGTATCCAACAATTTGATATTCTTTCAATGGATCATGAAGATGAATCAATCGGTCATCTCAAACAATTGAGTAGCAATGAAAATATATCACTTAGCGATATCAGTGAAGTTTACAAAATTCTTCTGGAACAATTTAAGACATTAGGAAGTGAACATTTACATCTGATTAAGACATCAGTAGAATGCTCAGCAGTGGTTAACATGATGAAAAAATCTGATTTATATTCGCCTCAAGGGCGACATCGATTTCAAGAATTACGAGACAATTTCACCACGCAGTTTCAATTACAAGAACGAAATAATATGATTCTCAATTCATTAATTATTACTCATATATTATGCGAACCATTTATTACTCAAACAAAAACTCTGCCAGAATTTGTTGATCGTCTTGCCCATTTACGCAATTTCGAAGAAAGTTCATTGAAACATATGAGAGGTAAGATTTTTTTTCTAAAATGTGAAATATTCATGGCCACTTTGAAGCCTGATAAGTATAAGAGGAAGTTTTTCAAATAAGGTATATTTTTCTGAAAGTCTGAACAATTAAACAAATAGTTTATCAAGTCATTCTATATTATGTTATAGTTATCAATGAAAATATACAAACTGTTAATATGTGGCTATCAGCAGAAGAGACTTCAGCATTGGACAATGCTCTCGTTACGATGGAACATTTATATAAAACAGGCATTGTTACTATACGACTGGGACGTTTGATGAATGAACCATCCTATTTTCAGATTGAATATTCAATTGTTAAAATGAAAACATCGATAAATACTGAAAATTTCGATGAAGAAGTCGAGCAAGAAGATAGACCACACGATGCGAAATCAGCCAAATTTATTTTGTCTATGACTGATATCAATGATCATAAACGTCAACTTACATTTTGTAATGTCGATCTACCATCGAATATGTCTCATAAAAAAGTTTTACTGAGCGAACAACTTCGATTATTGGAGATTGTTGAGAAAATCTATTCAATGTTTGTCAAACTAGAAATTGCTGGTCATCCAGATTATCAACTTAGAGATGAGCAATACAATATCCACGATAAGACAAGTATGAATATAGCTTGAATTCAACTATCGGGAGAATGGGGGAAAAGATAATTACTTTTGAAGCTAGACACGTGGTGGAACATTTTTGGAGGGCAGCTAAAATTTCGAGAAGGCCCAATCTATTTTTGACAAGATCAATAGTTGTTGGGGCAAAAATTTTCTTCCTGTACGCGCCTATATTTTTCTTGGAGGGAAAATCGGTTACCTCAGACTACTCAGAGTCCATCAAAATTCACCAAACAAACATAAGTTCAAACAAATGCTCCAATAGTTTGACAAAAAAAGCAGGTTTTGTAAATCGCTCTACTATTGCAGCCAAAACTCGATGACCATGAATGTTTTCCATACAATTCGAGAACAAATGAACCTACCAATCTGCTGTTTTCACCATTTTCAGAGAGCAGTGTAGGAATGTAACGAGAAGTCAAAAAGTATATTGATTCTTAATTGATAAGTGAGATGATCATCTCTTCTACAATTTCAAGATTACTATTAGAATGCTTTTTCTATTGACGTTCGATCCCTAATAGAGCTATTCTATATATAAATTAGTTCTCTATCCATCGATACAATGACCAACTTGGCCATTCATTCTGTTCAAATGTAGTAGATATGTTTGGCTGAGACCTTGTCTTCGGTCAATTGACATAAGATGACTCGGGAACGAACCTACAAAATAAGTTTTTGATCGTACTGAATCCAGTGGGAATGTTCGTTTTTGATATCAGAGTGATCTGAAATCCTTGGAATCAGATTTTCGACATTGTCGACTGTTTAAGTGGTATATCGAAAAATTCCAAACTTTGAAAATCGGATTCCAGAGATTTCAGATCACTTTGATACAAAAACTGAACATCTCTGCTGGACTCAACACAATCAAATACTTTTCTGTAGATGAGTTCCCATAACATCCGATGTCAACTTGCCAATATCAGAATCCCAGAAAAATGTTTATCATATATGAACAGAATGAATAACCAAGTTGGTCATTGCATAGATCGATATAGAACTAATTTAGGTTTCGAATAGTTCAATTCACGATCGAAACTCAATAAAAGAAAGAGCATTTCAAAAGTAATGTTGAAATTCTAGAAGAAACGATCATCTCACTTATCAATTAAGAATCAATCTACTTTTTGGTTTCTCGTTACACTCCTACACTGCTCTCTGAAATGACGAAAGCTGCAGATCGATAGATTCATTTGTTCTCAAATTATTTGAAAAATATCTATAGTCATTCTAGTCTTCTAGAGATAGTAGGAACCTTCACTTTGAAATTCTGGTTCTCCTTCTCTAAAACAATACTTGAATGATGAAAATTAGTCCTCCAACGAGTGATAGACGACAAATATAAACGTTTAAGGCACTTTTCGACCTGTTTAATGCTTATTATTGGATGGGTTTCTTACTAATCGATAAATTTGAGAACAGTCGTAAGTAGTATAACTGAGAGGTGTCCAGGAAAGCCTGAATCCATTTTCGCGCAAGAGTTTTGGACCTTTCTCTACTGAACCAAGTCATGCCAATAAAACTCTACCACAAGTCCACTCTGGTGGAAGGAGCTCGACCAAGTGATTCTTGCCCAGCGAACGAAACCAGACCAATTAAGCCTTCGCTCTGTCCAAATTCTGAGTATGCCACTAGTGGACTTTTTTTTTGGAAAAATGCTTCTCTCTACTAATTTCTGTTATCTCTTCAAAGGCAGAATCAGTTTGCTGTTATCCAAAATAAGAGACAATCAAAATATAACAGATCAGCAACTACAAGAAGCAATTCGAGTACGAACAGATCATTTACAACTGACCTTTCGTGCATTAGAAACAAATTATGAGATGTGGTTAAAAAATTTGAATCAATATAGAGAAGAAAATCCGACACTCAAATTATTTTCAAATCGGCAAATCATGATCATGATCATTTTGCTTTCAACTGATAATCGAATTAAATGTTGTTTTCTCAGAAAATTGTATTCATCAATTGATGTCAACAATCAAAATAATAACGAACTCAAATTAACGTTACAATTATTATTACACTATTTACGTTCTTTGAGAACAAGTAATTCTAACTTGTCCGAAGACAATGTCTCTCGTATTTATGCAATGTACAAGATTGACAAAGGTACAAGTGCAGAAATGTGTCTACAACAATTGTGTCATTTTCTAAACGCTTTTCTTGCCAACAATACAGAACTCTCTCGACATAGTAGCACAGAAAATGAGAATCAACAATATCTCGTTGCATTGAATCCATTGGAAGAGACACCATTAAGACATGATCTTGACATGGATACATGTTGTATTCTATTAAATCTCTTTCAAAATCGACTACCATCTTTTCATCAAATCTTATGGTGTTCGACAACAACTGAAGACGATATTCATCTATTCTTCTCTTGTGTACGAACATTTCATGATTTGACATTCGTTATTATGAATATCGATAAAATGCATCATCGACTTCGCGAACTACTACTGAATGAGCAAGACTCATTAGCACGACTGCAACAGCCTCATGGAGTTATCTATTACGTTGTACGCGGATCAATCATAAATAGAAAAAATCTAAGATCATTTCAAATTCATCCTAAACATCGAGATCCACATCAAACTTGTGCACAGTTACTTACGCTCTATCGACAGAATTACGACAGTGTTCAACCCCAATTTGAAATTATTTGTGGAGCATCTGGAATAGGTGAGTGTCAAACTACTGAATATGACTTGTTCTCTTAAATAACATCTTTCATTTATAGGAAAAACTCACCACATCAATACGAACTATAAAAATGGTGATACTATAAATTTTAGTGTTAATGATAAATTAAGCGTGTCATTATTAGTCAGCTTGTTGCTATTGTATGATTCAAAAACGTTAAATGATCATCCATCAATTTATTTCAATATTTCGATTCATGCACCATTTGAAGAATTGAATCGAGCTTTTTTTTCATTATTCGTATGCGGTTCACTTACTGATGTTGATAGTGGTCTTACATTTTCATTGTCGAACACAAAATCGTGGAAGTTCATCATGGAAATTCCTCACACGAATAAATATGCAATGAATATCCGACAGAATTTCAATAATATATTACCATTAATGTCAATCATAGCATCCAACTCAATCGAGGAAGTTACTGGTGAGAATTATCAATTATTTATCGGTGAAGAAGAAGAATTAGTAGCGCGCTTCTTAAAAGCTGATGAAAATGGAACAATCAATCGTCTACTAATAGTCGATTCTGATAACAAAGAGAAACCTGTAGAATTCGACAAATTGGCAAGTTCAGATGAATGTCGTCAACATATTTATGATTGCATAAATAAATATGCACCAGAGTTACCAAAAAATAAAATATATGAAATCTCTTTTGTCAAATTTTTGTATCGACGAATTCGATTTTTTACTAGTCACTTTTATTGTTTCAATATGGTAATTAATAATCTTGGTTCAATAGCCATGAAACAAATGATACACGAAGCTAAACATCTTGCTCAAATTGATTTTCGTTGTGATAATTATCCTCGTACATATCTTGTTTATGACCCAAATTTTTCATTACAATTACTTTACCATGATTGGAATAATGTATTCAATGAATTGAAACAATTATTCAATTATCGTGAACCTAAACTAAATAATGAATTTCAAAAAAAGAATTATTTAGCCGTGTGTTTGTCCTGGCTTCTTGATATGCAATATGAAACATTTGAGAAAATAAGGAATAATACAAAATTTATTTTGACTGAAAGTTTTGCTTACAAATTGTTTCATGTACATGAACGCAAACTGACAAAACTTCCGTTGATTATCGAAGGTGAAACCGGCGTTGGAAAGACATTTTTGCTTACGTTCTATTCGTTACTATTAAATGCAAATATTACCAATGGTTCACTTCAACATAATATAGCTCCACGTATTCGTGAACGTATAAGTTTGTGGTTGTTGCACAATGTTATTATCGCTATTCTTGAGAATGAATCAAATTTATTGAGCATAATTCTGCGTCAGATTAAACAAAAATTAAAAGGTTTTAACAATGATGATCAGAAGATGAACTCAACTGCAGCACATCCATTAGATTTGATTGACAAAACGGTGGTTGGAATCGAAAATGACAATAATGAAGGTGATGATGAAAATCTATTGCATGGGTCTAGTGAGACTCATCTTGAGAATATCGGCCCAGATCTTCTCGACGAAAATGGAGATAATCAAGGAATAGAAATAATGCCACAAGTCACGCCTCAACATCGATTGATCGATCCCATTGATATTGAGTTTTTAAAAGAGATCAAACGTTCATTACAGAACTTTGAACATGACAATAATATTTTACAATATATTTGGAAAACAATCATCACAATATCAAGTGAAAATCAAAGGAACATTACGAAAAAACTTATTCTTGAGTTGTACAATTATATAACATCCCAGTTGTCAGCTTTACCATTGATCGAAGCAAGTCATCTTCTAAAAAATCTACTGAATAAGTCACATTCATCATCGATTCATACCTCCATTCGGATGTTCAATGAGTATTTGTGTTATACTCAAGTAAAACCAGTGTTCTATCGCCTTTTACTTCATCCTGGCGTAACTGAAGAGCAGCTCGAAGAATTCATGTCACCCATTGTTCAACTTGCTAGAGCATTACATAGTATCGAACTAGTTGTCTTCTTTGATGAAATCAATACATCATCATGCCTTGGTCTATTCAAAGCAATGTTCATGGATCGAACATTACATGGGACGAATCTACCAGAAAATATCTTTTTTACTGCTGCCATCAATCCAGCATCAACATTAGCAAGTACTGACAATCTTCCTTATCGTTTAGACTACGTGGTACATCAACTACCACAAGCTCTTGAAGGTTTAAGAGTGTCTTATGGCATATTAGAATCAAAAACATTAGCTGATTATATCAGACAAAAAATTGCAATGTTCAATGTTCGTGCATCGAACAATCTCGAAACGCGAATGCCCTTGCAAAACTTTGCACAAGATCTACTCAGTCAATCGATTTTAGCTGCACAAGAATTTTGTGAAACACGTCTTGGTAATTGAAAAAATTTTTTTTTCATCTTAAATAAATGTTACTTTTTTCGATTATGCTTCTAGGAAAAAATACAGTATCACAACGAGAAATACAACGATGTTTCAATCTTATTGAATTTTTCTGGAAAATGAGATATGATGGCGAAACTAATCCGAATTATCAGCCTAATCCAATTCGATGTATTACATTATCAATAGCATTAATCTACTATTTTCGACTTCCAACGGAGGAAGATAATCGGCAACGAAATGATCATCATACACCAACACGTGAAGAATTAGGAAGTTTACTTTCTGATATCATTCCTGATTTTGTCGAAATCATTCAACTTGAACTCGAAAAATTTGTCAATATTGACAATTTTGTTATTCCACATGGTGTTGCAATAAATCAAGCTGTATGTTTATACTGTTTTTTGCTCACTTGTTCGTTCACTACTCTCAATTCTAGGTTCGTGAACATCTCTTTGCGATTGTGGTCAGTGTAGTCACTCGAACACCTCTATGCATCATTGGTGCACCAGGTATGTCACTTTTTTGTCATAGAATAGTACTCAAAAAAAAACATTAACTTATCATTATAGGGCAATCGAAAACTCTATCTTTTCAAATTGCCTTGCAAAATTTGCAAGGTCCACAGTTATCTACAAAACAATTTTGTAAACGTCTACCATCTATCGATCCAGTCTGTTGTCTTGGATCAAAATATAGTCGTTCAGAAGACATAGCATATGTCTTTGATAGAGCTATTCAACGTGAACAACAATATAAACAATATCGAATGAACACACGATGTGTGAGTTCATTCGATTTTAGAAATAGATATCATGATTTTGCTGATATCTTACATTTAGGTCGTTTTTCTTGATAAAGCTTCGTTGCCCGATGAGAAGAAAATGGTATTGAAAGTATTGCATTCGTATTTGGATGAATGCAAAGTGGCATTTATAGCCGTAGCTAATAAACCGTTTGATGCTGCTAATGCAAACAGAATGATTTGTATTTATCGATCACGTCCATCAGAAGTCGATCAAAAAATATTAGCCTATGGTTGTCTTGGTCTAGATATTAAGACGGAAAAACAAATGATTAGTAGTCGTACAGAAGCTATTGTTCATGGTCTCTGCCAAGGCTATCGTCAAGTACTTATGAGTTCAGATATTCCACACATTTTTCATGATAGAGATTTCATCTATATGCTACGAGAACTTCGTTTTGAACTGACAAAAAATTCAACAGATGATGATACATATATTGATGGAATTACACCGAAGAGTTTATTGCATGCACTTGAAGACAATTTTAATGGAATAAATGAAGAACAATTTCAAAGATTAGTTCAAATTTTTTTGGATGCTGTTCGAAACGATTGTGACGATTTTGTCTTACCATCGAAAGAACAAGATAAAACAATTTATCGAAATGTACCAACGATTATCCGTGAATCAATGGAACTTGATTCAATACATCGTCGTCTTTATGGTCGTTACAAATTAATCATTGACGAATCAGAAGATGAAAGTGCCGTTCATCTTCTCTTTCAAAGTGGTCTTCTCAGTTCGGATCCGAAACGAACGACCGTCTTTAGAATGTCCGACTTTGCTGAGGATATTAATAATGAACTTCGAAATACAGAAATTCTTTCAAATATCAAATTATGTATGGAAACAGGCAAAACAATATTGATGGTTAATACGGAACGCATTCATGGTTCACTTTATGATGTATTTAATCAAAATTTTTCGATTATGGCTACATATGATACGAGAAAGATCTTTTCTAAAGTAGCAATTGGCCCGAAAACTATTGATGTTGTAGTGCATGAAGATTTTCAATGCATTATACATGTAAAACGGAATGAAGTAATACATATACCAGCACCATTTCTCAGTCGCTTTCAGAAATATTCGTTAAGTGTCAATGATTTCTATCGAATACAATTGAAACGTCTTGTTGACAATGAACAGACAATTATAAAAAATGTTGAAGAAAAAGTACAGAGTTTCATTCAACATTTTGGACGACAATATTTTTATGGTTTGAATGAAAATACATTATATTCATGTCTTCTACCACTTATTAAGATCAATGATAACCAACAATATTATTTATCGAATCCTAGTCAACATTATACTCAACTCACTATTAAATCAAAATCATTCATTGAGAAAAATCCGACTGACGTTCAACAGTGTCTTTTACGTTTACTTCTTTCGAAATTGATTCAACTTGTTTCTCCAGAATCGATCATTTTAAAACTACCGACTTTAGAAGAGACCATTGCACAATCTCTTTGTATAAACTATTTTCAACAGCAAGAACATTTCAATATTGAAAATTTTATTCGGGAATTAATTTCAAAACCATTGATCAATATTGATAATAATGAATTATTGAAGGATACTATGGATGAATCACAAACGGAAAGCAACATTCTTATAACAAAAAAAGTGATGATATTCACACGGACATCATCTTATTTAGATGGTCTCAATAAGCAAACAAAATCAGAATTTTTCAATAATGATGATTTCTACGGTTATGATGGCAACTACAGCGATAAAATTGATGTTATAAATCTGGTGAGTTGTTTTTTTTTACTTTTGAATCGGAATAGAAAAGGATTTGAGATAAGCTTTGGAAGATTTCATTTATTTTCTTAGGTTTTTTGATCATTTACAGGGTGTTTCATAAGTCTTGAGACGCGACAAAATTAATTTATATGCAGACAGAGAATAACATCTGACGACGAATGTTTCTATATGAGCCTTGAGTGCTTGTGTCAGTCTTTTAAATGACATATTTTTCGATAATATCTTTTCTTGTTATAATAGAGCCATAAACACGACAATATAAGAAGGGTGTAGGTGGTAGCATCGGTTAAGAGAATAACTACACCGACACCGACACCCACACTCAACTCTTTGATTAATAAATATATATATTTAATCCATTTCTTGAATATTTATTCTAGGCATCCATAGAAAACTCTGTAGAAATACAAGATGAATTTCATACTTTTGGGCAAGATGAACAAAAAACTGTTCTCATCATTGTTATTGAAGCTCAGCAATCCTATCATATTCCTTTTCTTCAACAACTTATTGATCATACTCAATACACATACAATGCTGATATGCGACTACAACCAAAATATTTTCTTATGCTTGTTCATTCTCCAGCACGACAACTTTATAATCAATTTTGTTTTGCTTCAATTTTCTTAAACAATTGGGATTTCTACTTTTTTGATACTTATATATCAGAAAGTGCATTTCATCTACAAAAAATGCTACAAATTTTATTACCATCTTCTAAGGAACCAGAGGAATCATTCGACAATATCCTACTCGATCTCAATACTTCTTTTGACGATTGTCTATGGGATTTTTGTTCAAAAATTCAAATTATTCTTCAGGAATTACCACAAGAAATGTTCAAAAATAAACTTGCACATCAATTCTATCAACGTCGAACGGGTATCATTATACGTGTTCAATGTTTAAAACAAATTCTGCAAGAATCAACTCAATTACAAAAACGTATTGTCAATATCTATCATGAACACTTATTGAAGCAAAAGAATTCCCGTCATAAAATTTACGAAATGATTTATCGAATTTCGAAAGACATTATTTGTGGCAAGCGTTTTGATAGCCTTATAGAATCTATTTATTCTTGCACTCGAGTTTCCTTTACTAGTTTCGTCTCAAATATCTTAAAAGTTATTATTAATAATTATGGATTGGATGCACTATTAATATTGTCGACAAACAAATCTGGTTTCGATTCATTGTTGAAATTGATCAATTATTCTTCATTTATTTCCAAAGATGAAAGTGCTAATATCTTGACATCTCCACCAGATCATGAAATATTTCAAATTGTAACACAATATTCCTGTATTCCTCAAACACCACTATATCATTTATTCCATCAACGAGTCAAAGCACATGTGGAAGAGATTAAATTGAAGCATATTAGCAAACTAAAGGAAGATAAAGGTTTGTAGGTTCTAAACTACTCTTGTTAAAAAAATCTACCAGGTTCATTTATCAATAATTAATCTGCAGAACTATGCAATAAAAAAGAAAGGTTTTATTTAGTGCAATCCTATGAGCATATAGGGGCGTACACGGAGAAAATGAATATTATTTCATGACTAAAACAATAGGATAGAAGTTATACTGAAAATTTTTCAGCACAATCCCAATAAAATTAATGCGTGAATCATAATGAAATCACTTTAATCGTAAAGTCCGTGGTCATCATTTAGCCTAAAAAAAATGAACTTGTAGTAATTGATTTATAACTCGGCTAGTTATCATCGTACACAGCTGATCATTAGTTTCCTAAAAAGAATGAATATTTCTGCATCGATCCATATGTATTTGATTGTAAAGTGATCGGCCTCTGTTTTATAAGAACCATAATAACACGAGTAGGGTCAATTTTTTTATAACTTTTTGAGTGCTCCACATTCTGCTACTGGAGATATGCTTCACTTGTGATTCTCCCATTCTCACGTCAAACAGAATGTTTATCAGAATAGAACAAGATTTTGTGAACAAGATTATGGAAAAGGCAAACTAGATTTGTACTTAGAGTAGCACGAATTGATGCACTCTGACGAGGCGGACCAAATAGTTTATTGTTTACTTACAAATAAGAACAGTCTTGTTCATAAAATCGTGTTCTATTCTGATAAGCATTCTGTTTGACGTAGGAATGGGAGAATTAGGAGCAATCAATACCTCCAATGGCAAAATTCGAAAGACTCAAAAAGTTGCAAAAAAATTTGACCCTACTCGAGTTGTTATGGTTCTTATGAAACAATGGTTGACTACTTTATAATCAAATACATATGGATCGATGCAGAAATGTTCACTCTGTTAAAGTAACTAATGATCAGCTGTGTACAACGAGAACCAACCGAGTATATAAATCAATTACTACAAGGTCAATTTTGTTGGGCACAATTAGGACAACCGAGTGTATATGAGGATCTTCGCTTGATATATACAATGATTGACTTCGGAACCAATACAACAATATCTTGATACGTCTACAACATTCCTATACTGTCACCAAGCATATTAAACTTGTCGCAAAAATCCTTCTAACGTGGTACACACCATGACAAACGGACAGTATACATTTTTGGACCACGAAATTTATAGTCGAAAATTATTATTAGAATACGTACTTTCCAAGATAAATAAATAGTCAAATGAATAATTATTAAAATATTTATTTATTTAAGTATCTGTTTCATAAATATAAATTCTAGGGTCCAATTATAGAAAAATGCATATTGTTTATCTGTCAATCATGGCCTATAAGAGTTAGAGGATGAATACAAGTTTCTTGTTATATATTTCAACGAGCAGTCATCCTATTCCGTAATGTTGAACATTGCGAAATCAGTTCCGCACCCGGAACCAGCTCCATCCAATTCCGAGAACTCGATCGTCATTCCCAACAACAGACCTATTAGTCACTGACCGAGCTCCGTCAATTCCCGGAACTTAGTCCAGACGGAATTACTCCAAATTCCCAGTAATTTCGGAACCGGAAGAAATTCCACCCAATTCCCAGCAATTCTGAAATTGAACGGAATTCCGTCCGATTCCGGAATTCCGGGAATTGAGTGGTGATGGAATCCCCACCGATTCCGGAATAAGACGGAATTCCTAGGAATTCCGCGCGATTCCCTCTCGACTCAATTCCTGGAATTCCCTACCGGAATTATTTGCTTATGTAAGAGGATAATCTTCAGTCACAACACCATGCGTGAGGGTGAGGGCAGGAAGTAATTCCGTCCGATTCCGAAATCGGGGCAATTCCGTCTGAACTTAGTTCTGGGAATTCCGGGAATTTGATGGAACTCGGTCAGTGACGAGTCGATCTGTTATATTGAATGATGAACGAGTTCCCGGAATTGGATGGAACTTGTTCCGGGGGCGGAACTGATTCCGTAATGTTCAACATCGCGAAATAGGATGTATTCTCATTTCAACATTTATTTCCAATCGTATTTCACAAAATAGAGCTGATTTTTTCTGATTCATAATCCGCAAAATCTTTTCATTAACCCTCTGACCTTTTCACGATTTTTTTCAAAAGATTAGCAGACCTAACTCAAAAATAGTTACTTCTATGTCCTATAATTTTGAAAATAGTTCGAAAAACTTGAAACACCATCAGACATTTTTCACAGATTCTTAATTAAAAACAATAGACTGTTATCTGTATATTTTCTATCTAATCGTGTTTGGTGATGAAATTATGCCCATTTTTCTCAGCTAACGTGCTGTTAAACAAAAACTTTATTTATTTCTTAGAACAAAATACAATTGTTCATCAACATCATGATGTAGCTCGAAGAGTCACTACTGCTGATAATACTGATTCTGGACTGAACGAAACAGTCATATTATCTACAGAGCAGTTTCGATCGGAATTGGTAACATCTGTTCTGAATGATACGACATTAACTGAAACTATCACCGAACATGTTCTTGATTCATATTTGAATGATTTGGTTCGAACATTCTGTACAGTCTTAGAAAAACAATTCACTGATGATCATACTCAATCTGAAAAAGCGATCGATTTCATTGGACAATGGTTACGACTCGTCGACGATGACGATCTTCAATCGCTACAATTGTGTGCAAATCGAAATGTTTTTCTACTTGCTTATGCTTATACTTTGTTTGAATATGTGCAAGATGATGTCTTATCATTATATTCAGCTTGCCGAGTAATTAATCGACTTAATCCAACGCAATCGTTTCAAATCGACTTATTCAATAAAAACGGATTGGTTCGATCTAGAGTGCGCGAAGAATTGTTTCGGCATATGTTCGATCTTCTATGGAAGAATTTAATAGAAATATGTTCGAATACCGATGAAAATAGTGAAACATGGATTCAAAGCTATGTCTTCATTTCCAAATACTATCCATCGGACAAAGTACTCGAACAAATTCAACTCACCGAAATCAAGAACGAATTAGAATTGATGAATTTAGCTTATCTTATCCTTCTAAATGAGAATATTTCTCATCCAAAAGAACTTGTGTCTCATTTATTAAATCTCTTAAATTCTGATGATAACGAAAGAAATGTGAACTACGATTCATCGTCTTTTCTCAAATTATTACCTAAGATTATTGAAACTATTCATAAATATTTCACCGATAAAAATGAGAATGACTCAACATTGATGATTGATCTTCAACAATGGATTGTATCAACATTGAAAATTGATAAACAATCGTGTACAGATGAAATCAATTATTTATTCAAATATTTAAACCAATCATTATGCCATTGGTCTCTTCCCATGAAACAGTTTGCATTCGATCAATTAGCAAATCTCTCCGTTCAAAATGCTCAACAGAATCAATCGACAACGAACGAAATGAAAACTAGTTTCTTCGATCGCTTTAATTTCTTTTCTACCATTATAGAATGTATCTCAGACGAGAGTTTTATGCAAGATTATCAACTTCCCTATCATCCGATCGTTATTGATAATAGCAAAATACAAGAACGTCCAATATTGATTGATCTTTTCTTTTTTCATTTGAAACGACATACCAATAATGTGATAATAGATACAAAGCTTATCACAAAGTTAATCTTATCGAATATTCCACCGATCAAATCGCAAAATATTTTATCTTCTGCCAAGAATGTATTTCAACAATTTAAGGATTACGTTATTCTACATTTCACTGGTTTACTATTATGTGATACGAATCTAAATTCAGATAATACAAAGAAGCTTATGAACATCGTTAAAACTCTGATCGAACAATACTTGTCAATCGATGAGCCAATGGTTCAATTCAGTCATCATTTACAACTTTTTCTTGCCACTATTATATCAAAACGTTCATGGTCTTTTCTTTTGGATCTTCTCAAATCGGATCGTATTCGAAATGTAAATAATCAATGGGCAGATTACTTATATCGTCTGCTTGAATCAAAAGAATTAGTTCGATTGAAGAAAGACTTACAATTATGTCATCAACTTCAATTCACAGTAGCTTCAAAATCGGATATTTCATCCATTTTTCCACATCTTCATGTGTTCTATGATGAATTATGCAAGACTATTGAGAACTGTATTACAAGTGATGCACTTGAAGACCGATGGAAACCTCTATCCGATTGGATCGAAACTAAACTTCATTCTGATCCTGTTCAACTGACGTCGAATGAAATTAAAGCTATGTTAGTACTGAATATCTACTACAACTATTATTGTAGCAATCAATTGCTCTTAGTTCAACCTCTGTTAGAAATCGTGAATGACACACTGGAACCTTTGCCAGAAGATTTGCAAGTATTTCAAGCACTATTGCAACCCGAACAGCATATTATCGGATATTCAGAAGAGAATGTTAATGAAGACATCAACTACTTAAATAGATTATTTAAACTTGATTGTAACGAAAAAGATGAATTAGGCATTCGTCATTGTCTAGTCAATCTTATGGCGATGATTTTGATGGGTGGCAAACAAAGCTTTCTCTGGACATTTGCTTTTGAACCGTTAACATTAGAAAATACATATGGTGAGTATTGTAGTAAATTTATACATGTCTGTTTGTTGCAAAAAAAAATAATGGTTTGCCCATTTTTTTTATTGAATAAAAAAATAGGTTTTGGATCGACAACACATTACATCATTGAGGCTAATGGAATTCATTATGACTGCGGTTGTGTTTTAACACTGAATGGTGATCTTTTCCGATTTCCAACTAGAACAAATCACAATATCATGAATGTTCCAGCTGTTTACACTGTCTTGTTCTCAACTTTCGGTGCTATGGTGAGCTTGCTCATGTATTTTATGTTTTATTCTTGATATGTTGTTATTTAGGCCTGGCATTTACTCTTGTTTAACACGTCCATTGAAAATTTGCACGGTCACATTTTAGCCCCAAGTGCTATTGCAGATAATGCTATTGATGTTCGTACTGCTGGTAATAATTTACGAACAAAAATTTGTCATTTCGTCCGTGCTCGATTATTGTCAACTTTTAACTTTTTATCGATACGCTCAAGTCAAGATGATGCATGTATTCTACTTGGGCGTTGCTTCGAACAAATGGCTTTTCTAACTGTAAATCAACAAGATTCTTGGATCAAACCTATCTACAGTACACTTGAAGATGAACTCAACGCTGAAATGAAATACCAGAGTGAAGTATTTTTTCTTGCTTATCAAAATGCGGCTAAACATAAAACATATATCAATGAACTGCAATTGCAATCAGAGATTCAAACCAGTTTACACAAGTTTATTACTCAGATGCCTATGACTATTCAATTTTCACATTTTGAAGCCGAGTTATGTAATCCAACGCATTCTCGTTTGCCACTGAAGCTCTTAAGATATATTTTGGATTCAATTGATGTTCTAAAAATGATGAAATACATTCCTGACTTGACTCGATTCTATCTTCTGTTACATCAAACATATACTCAATTAATTGAAAGGGACGAATTCATAGAGGTTACATTGAAAAAGCTATATGATCGAGCACAAACAATTTTTGTTAGTTCTCATCATCAACAATATCCACACGAGACTGACAATCATTTCAATATTATCAACAAAGGTATTGAAGCAATCAATGCTTACCATAAATTTACGGATGGTCTTATCCGACCAGGTGCTTGTGATGAAACTCAACGGTTCTCAACTGTTTCATTCGATACACCAGTGCATTATTTTGTCACAACAGAAAATCACGATGAAGGAGATATTACAATGCGCATACTAAGGTACATTTTCAATTGGATAATTGTGAGAGAATCCTCATCATTAATATATTAGTTTCGAATCTGTGCAAATAAATTATTCAAAAGTAATCTGTAAAAAGTGTCAGACGAGTATTACATCGTATAATTATTTTAGTAAATGACGAGGTATACGAAAGTAAACAGAAAGGAAAATGATTTAATTTTCACGCTACCACATTTTTCTCATTTCATAGTTCGTTTCAAACGATTGTAAGAGATAGTTATTGAAATGTGAATTTCTTTCTTTTAGTGTTCTCGTGGATTATCACAATAGTTTATTAGATTTGATTGAGCAAACAATGAGTAGTGACGAAAATCATGGTGTTGGTATATTGAAGATAATGGCTAATGAATTAATATCTAAAGAAGTTTCTATACTAATAATTGCCGGTAATAATAATGGATTCATTACATTAACTGACGACGATTTTTCTTGGATTGAACAACTATGTCGAGCAAGTCTCTTAGTTGACGATGAGTATTTTCCAAAATTTGGCACAAAATTCACTGTCGATTTTATGTACTTACAATCGTACATTATTCGTACATATCTTCTACGATGTCACATTAATTATCGACAAATTGTTCAAAAGTATCAATGTTATGTACGACAAATAAAACATATGAATACAACAGAAAATACTGAAATACTAGATCTAGGTGAAAACTATGCGATATTATTAGACGAACGACAATTAGAAACTGACTGGAAACATTTGAAGTTAATGTATTTAGATAAACTTTATCATGGTCATAATTTTCTTCGACAAATAGCTACAATATTAAGACATAATTCAGATGATCATTCTTCGAAAGGATTATATGAATTTGTCGAATCAGGAACTGAGGAAAATGCTCATCTGCGAGAACAATTAGAACGATATGAAATAAAAGATTTTCAATTATGTTATATCGATCATGTACGTCAATTATATGAAAAATCGATTGGTGGCTTTCAATATTTGTTTACTGATGTGCCCCATCTTCTTCATACTCCGATCGATGAACAATCACATAATGAACTAAATCAAATAATTGAATCAGCACTCAATCTTACGAATGAAAATCTTCAAATTGATGAAATTCAATCCATAGTACAGCGAATCACTGAATTCTCGAATGAACTCAAAGCAATCGAAAACACTCTCCTCGAACAATCGACTAGATCATTGAGAGAAATTTGTGAATATATAACTGTTGAAAATCCAATAATTTCATTGATTCCCGATGTAATCAAATGCGAACATTATGTTTCACTCAATATTTATTTGATTCAATTACGATCGATTTTACAAGAACGAACAATTAATATTCAAGAAAGAGAAGCAACAATTTGGAGTGAAAATTTCGATCTTCAATCCGATGCTCAACAACAAGATAGAAAAAGAAGTTGTTATCAAGATTATTTAACTCCAATGACTACTGTTGATAATGATCAAAAAGAGAATGACTCAGATGAATGGTCTTTACTACCGATCAAAACTGAGGATTTGGTTGACAATACTAATAATGAAACACTCAATGTTATTGATCGAGAACTAGAGCCAAAACTTGAGTTTGAAGTTGTTCAAAACATTGAAGACGAAATTAGTTCTGAATATAGATCACTTTTCAAATTAAGTATACGCTTCGTTCCATTGACATGCTCAACATTAGTTCAACAAGTTCATGAACAAGAACATTCAATACTGTCAACGATTGCGACCAGAGCTCAAAGATACACTCTTAAATATCCTGATGGAAAAAAACCTAGCTCCCATATGTGTACAAGTAAGAAATTGTTCGAAAATCTGAAGAAAGCATTCGATGACAATACATATGATGTAAAAACTTTTGCTGTGATCGATCAAAGTCAAATAGTCGTCGATTTTGTCGATGTTGACGGTCGAGTACTACCACGAATGTCACCAGAATACTGTATCATCAAAAGGGACCATCTAGTTGATCTTCAGTTTCACTTCAGAACAAATTTACTTAAATATTCAACGACATCTACTTGTGAGATTTTAGCTATCATCAATCGCTTTATTGAGGATAGCCAACTGGAATTGGCGTCATCTGATGTTCATCTTTGCTTCTTTGATGAATTCGGTAAATGTATAGATGGTAAAACGATTGGTGATATCTACCGAACTGAAAATAATTCGATGATAAATATTGTCGTGAAAGAAGAAGATAATACCACTAGCTTTTTAAGTCAAATCATTGTACAATTAAAAGAAGGTAAAATAAAAATCTAATCAAAGCAATCAAATTGTTGATTATTCTTGTTTAGATCAAAAGTATATGAACTTGTTTTATTCGATGACAACTTGGCAACAGATCAATCAATGGATTAAAACTCTGATACAAGATGAATCCATCAGTGATTGTGCTATTTGGGATCCAGAACAGAAAAGAGTTGTTGATGAGAATAATCCTGTATCTTCAGCACATGATCAGTCTACATTCAATGGTATTAGTAAAAAAGAGACAATTAAGGTTACTTTCTCCTATGAAACAAATCATCAAATTATTTGCACACTAAAATCGACTCCGGTATTTCATCTATTTAATAATGAGCAACTTCTTCGACAATTGCAGCTAAATATTTCACCGAAAAATTGTGCTCTTATGGTGGATGAAACAAACAATCGAATATTGTTGCAGAACGATATGCAACATCCTCTCAGTGACTATTTACATATGGATGACCAACCAATCAGTTTTCGAATAGTGATTTTAGTAATAATACTCAAATATGACGATCAAAAGTCGTTGCAAATACCGATCTCGAACAGAAATCTGACTATCAAACAATTATTAGAAAGGACAGGAGTGTCCACTGAAATTTATAAATATTTAGCATCGAATAAGACATTTAAAACACTCTTAAACGATCAAAATTTATCTGATTTGAATGAAGTCAATTTTATTCTTGCTAAAGACAATGAGATATGCATGGTTCAGATAGAAAAAAATCAAAAAACTCTATTGGTTGATTTTGAAGATAATGAAATCAAAAAACGATACGTAATCTGTGCCACTATTGCTGATATTTGCAAACAGGAGGATATCAATATGAATCATCAATATCTTCTCTATTCTGACGATTTTGTACCATCAGTGGATACTCCATTGGCATCATTCGAATCTGAAACACTTGATTTTAAAGTAATTAATAATAATCTTCCAGTATCCATTAAGGTTTCGAATGATGAAGGAAAACAATCAACTATCATTCATTGTTCAACTTCAATCACGATCAAACGGATACGTCAGATTATTTGTAAACTATTTGGCGTCAATTATCTCTACTATGGACTAATGGATGATGAATGTCAATTAGACGACGATTTGTCCTTGGATGATATCGATTCATCCAAGACTGAATACGAGTTGACATTGAATTGCAAGGCCACACTGAAAAGTAGAATAACATATGGCGACCAGACAATAACTCTCCCATGTAATACAAGTACACTGTTGTCAACTATTATGAAAGAAGCATATGGGAAATTTCATATTCCGGAAGGCTGTTATTCAATGTACAAACTAATTTTAATGGATGATGCCCAAACAGAAATGGATTTGGACACTTCAATTGACGATGTTTTGCCATTGTTTGTTGAAGGAATAACGCTGATTTCATTCCTATTGAAAAAATCCAATGAATGAGACAGTTTATTTTTTCTACTACCGTTACATGTCGATTTCTTGCCATTAAACCTCAATAAAAGCTGTTAGCGCAATTTCTTGCGGGATTAAAAATGTGAAACACTATGGATCTATTGTTACTAATTAAATGGAAATCCTTTTGTTCCGCTTCTTTGGGACACATTTGTAGCTAATCGTTTATCTGATGCTTTACAACTACAGTTTCTCTGTCACGATCTATGATGAATATGGGGATTCTCTGTCACCGTCTGTGATGGGTACCAGGGTTCTCTGTCACTGTCTGTGATGGTACCCGGGATTCTCTGTCACGGTCTGTGATGGGTACCCGGGGTTCTCTGTCACGGTCTGTGATGAGTATGGATTTTCTCTGTCACGGTCTGGGAGGGGGAGGGGGGGGGGGGGTGCAAATTTCTACCCCTAAATACTTCAACACTCCTTTCAGATCGTGCTTCACAAAAGATGAGCCGCACTCAAACTTACTAACTAAAACTACCACTCCTCAGATTTCATTACCATTCTGCATACTAGTATAAGAATGAGTTGCATCGGATGTGGGTGTGGGGTGTGGGTGTGGGTGTGGGGTTGAGGGTGTGGGTGTGTGGGTGGTGTGAGTGTGGGGGTGGGGGGTGGGGGTGTGGATATTACCGACATCCGTGCCCACACCTACACCCTGCATCGGATGTATATGTTTTGGTAAAAGAGTTTGAGTTTCTTGATCATTTTCAAAATGTATTCAAAAAATCTTTTTTTTTCTGAAGACCATGTCAAAAATGTCAGATTCTACTTCAAAAACCCACATCATATTTTCCAAGGGCATCATTAAAAGGATTTGTATGCTTATTATTTTTTGCTCACTTGGGCAGACTAACACTCATACTCACACCCACACCTCCATAGAATAGATAGATTTCATGCTAAATATATTGTTAGAAGTTAGTAGTATTACATTAAAATTCTAGTTCCTAACAAACTATCGATTTATTATCTGTCGAAGAATAATTGTATATTGCATGAAGTAGAAAGATCACAATTATATATATACAGTGCTGGCCATAAGTCCCTGACCCCCTGAAGTGCTTCAATATTTCAAGTTGTTGACTTGAAGTTTTGGCTGCATGTGTTTAGTGAAAAACGCTGATTGTAGACACCAACCCGACATTAATTTAATGTAATAGAAGACAGTTATATATCAAACACTATCGTTACCTTCTATTACTCATATCTAAGTCATACAACCACTTCGGAAGCCGCAGAACCCATCATTCGAAAGCCTGGTACTTCAGCTTTATCCAATAAAATTTTCACCAGAAAAGTCTTTCAAATTGCTGAGATATCACTCTCTCAAGAGGTGCCGATGGAATCTTAGTTATGATGATTTTCAGTTCGTCAATATGAAAATCATCTTCAGATTAATTGATTCACCTGAAAATTTTTTCTTAGCATATTCAGAGTTCCATAAATGTTTCCAGAAAGTTTCAGAAATACAACATGTACTAAACTAACGATACGATGATGTAACTTTGTTGCCACCGTATACTTCGCCAATCGCTTATATCTCACTGAATTCAATTGTTCTTGCTACCTGGTAATGTACACATTAGGAGCTATATTTATCACTAGAAAAATGTCCTTTAAACCGTTCAGCGATAGAAAAGTATCATTTTTTTTTGGTTGAGATATCAGTGATCCAAGGTAAAGATAGTGTTTGATATATAACTCTATCTTATTACATTGAATTGATGTCGGGTCGGCGTCTATGATCAGCATTTCTCATTAGACACATGCAACCAAAATTTCAAGTCAACAGCTTGGAATATTGAAGCACTTCAGGGGGAAGGTACTTTTGGTCAATACTGTATGACAAAAATCAAGATAAAGCTAGTGGTTGATATATAACTCTCTTCTATTACATTAAATTAATGTCGGGTTGGTGTCTACAATCAGCGTTTTTCACTAGACACATGCAGCCAAAATTTCAAGTCAACAACTTGAAATATTGAAGCACTTCAGGGCGGCCAGAGACATATGGTCAGCACTGTATATATATGTTTATTTTGATACATTAGAGTTTACTTTTTTTTATGA